AATATATATTTAAAAAAAGCAATACAGGGCTGAAGAGATGGCTCAGAGTTTAAGAGCACTGACTGCTCTTCCAGAGGTCCTGAGTTCAATTCCCAGCAACCACATGGTAGCACACAGCCATCTATAATGAGATCTGGTGCCCTCTTCTGGCATGTAAGCATACATGGAAGGAATGTTGTATACATAATAAATAAATCTTAAAATAAATAAATAAAGCAATACAAAGACAACAACATGTAGCTCTGAAAGCTACAATATAAAGTAATAGGAGGAAATCCTCAACTTAGAGGAAGGAAAGAGACTCAACGCCTCCACTAATCGTATTCAGTGCAAACCAGAGGACACATGAAGAACTCATTATCTTTAAACTAATGAAAGGAGGAGGACCTCATGAATAGCAATAGAAAAGGGATATGCCTCATCAGCAACCTGGAATTTGACTGCAATGGAGGGATGAAGGTGAAATGCTGCAAGACCAAAAGCTCCAGTAAAGAGCACCAGATGCTGCTAACTCTCCTGAGAGGAGCATGCACGACCTTCAGGACCTCAGAAGCTCAACTGCAAACCACAGATCTTAGTGTGCCAGTGAAAACGCCACTCAATGTGTTTGGTTTCAGCACGTTTCATATACGAACAGTATGGAACAGTTTGTTCTGTGTGTGTCAATTAATACACAGTCCTTAATCCAACTTATTTTACTGATGCAAAAAAACTGCCGAGTCCTGTTTGCTAATCATGAACTATTTGGAGTGGGAATGTGACCTTTCTACACCACAACAGACTGATCAGTTAGGAGAACTGAGATCTAAGGCCTCTGGTGGCACCTTAGAATAAGAAAATTGTGCGGTTTAATACAACTCACTTTGCTTCCATCAAAGACTTCTCTGTTGATGCAATGCTGGGTGACAGCATTCTCCTGTACTATAAATCCTGTACAATTAGGGTCGATCCTTTCAGAAGTTACTTCTGTGTTCCTAACTACATAACCAATATGATAAAACCTCTGTCCATAAACAAAACGCTATTTATTTATCATACATAGGGATCATTAACTTGTTGACATGAGGTATTAGAAATCCCACCACATATCCAAGATCCACATTTACTCTCACTAATAGTGATACCTCCAAGTTCATTTCTATACTGTTATTTTATTTTGAACCCTTCCAGATCGCTTATATTTTCTTTGAAGGATGATTTAATCTTAATTTTATTTGGATGAGTGTCTATGCCTCAACTTAGGTCTGTACACCTCATGCTTGCAGAGCCTGCAGCAGCCAGAAGAGCACAATATATCCTCTGGAATCTGAGGTCCAGAAGGTTGTTAAGTCCCAAGGAAGGTACATAATACAGAACCTGGAAACTGTAAGAGGAACAAGTGCCCTTAACAGTTGAGTCACCTCTCTAGAACTTGGTTTATTGTTTCTTAATTAGCTACTGAAGAGACTTAAATCAAGGAACAGTGAGACAGAGTTTATGGAGCATTGAAGATACTTTTTTAGTGTGTCAGAGTGAGAGCAGGTCATGAAAGACAATCACACAGGCCAGATATGTTGGCGTACACCTTTAATCCCAGTACCTGGGAGGCAGAAGCAGGTGGTCTCAGTGGGTTTGAGCCTAGCCTGGTCTACAAAGCAAATTCCAGGATGGCCAGAACTGTTAAACAGAGAAACCCTGTCTGGAAAGAAAAAANAAAAAAAAAAAAAAAAAAAAAAAAACTAAAAAAAAATAAATAAATAATGATAATAATAAAGTTAATAAAAAAGACAATCACACAGAAGTGGGGGTGACAAAGACACATTGACAAGTTTTTGTTAGCAAGAGGCACCGGTTATAAAAGACATTTGTCCATAATTACAAACCTGAGTGTTTACAAGCTGGTGAACAAGTCAATCTGAAATACTATGCAGGAAGATGTTGGTAGTTATATAGAATTTATGAAATAGAGACTCAAAGATAATACAGTGGTTCAACACGACAGACTAGTTTCTGTGAAGAGACTAAAGTACTGACAAAGCATTGTTCACATAATCTAAACTAAAAAAATGAATCCATATGCATTAGAACTGGAGCTGGAAAGGGAACACTGAAATGCATGGCAATAATGCCAGTGTTACCTCATGGAATGCTATGGAAAGTCATACACAAATAAATCAGAACTGAAGAAATGGATTCTTACAAAGAACAGAATTATCAACCTCCTATATTATAAAACTAAAAACACATATTGCCAGAATATATTATGTAGCATGGGTCAGTTGAAGAAACAAGACACTCACTCTAAGATGAAATTTGAAGGCCAATGTGGCAGCGGGAAGGTCAAGTCTCACTGATGGTCTGAACCCAGAACAGCGATACAAAGTGGTATTCACTGTTACACAAATTCCTCATGTTAAGGTCTCTAATTTAATTTACATGTCTTAATAGAGGAGAGCATCACACAACACCATGACTCTAGTGTAATGGTCTGTCATGTCTCTTTAAGAGACAAGCCCCACCCACTCCCTCCCCCACCCCATTCCTCCCCTGCTCTTCTCCCTTCTCCAGTTCCTTTTCCATCCATAACCCACTAAATCAATACCCACTTTCTCTGCATGGCGTGCCCATCTGTCTCTGCCTCTCACCCACTGTGTGGCTCCCTGCCTGGGACCCGCTGGCCCTCGTGGCCCGCAGGCCACTTGAATGACTACGTCAATAGATACAAGAAAGCCCTGTGGCAGTATAAAAGTATAAAAGCTCTCGAGAACAGGAGGAACATACCTCAGCATAATAAAGATGAACAGACACAAAGCTAAACCAAACACTACAAAAGAAGGACACATAATTCAACAAAGACAGAAAAATTCAAAGAGGACAACATAGGAGAGTCAGAAGTCAAGTGGACCTTCTTGAGGAAGCTCAGGTCAGACCACTCACCCTGTCTGCAGATATCCTGAACTCCCAGGTCTTAACAGTCATATTGTCAGACAATGCTATGCAGGCTGGGGCAGGGGGCCATAACCAGATTTGGATACCGTGTGACGTAATCCCAATCTGTCAGGCAAGGCATACCCACTGGTGTCATAGGGGCAATACTATTTCATGGGTACCAGAAGCTATTCTGGTTTAGTATGAGGCCAGCTCTACAGAAGGAGGTACATGGATGGTACAAGGAACCTGCACAAGAGCAAAAGGAAAGTCACAGGCCCTAGACAGGAAGTCAGTACTGATAACTGCTACACATACAAATACTCAATCTGCCTTTAAATGAATGGCTCAGTTCACACCCATAGCCTGGTTCTGCTTTCAACCTGGGCCAAAGAAACTTTGGCTTCAATGGGGAAGAGCTATTTCAGAAACTCATAACTCATCAAATACGGAGAATAATTGACTGCTTACTACACAGCCATTAATGGGAAATCCATACTACCAAATCTAATATTATTCTCAGTGAAAATTTCCATAATCATTAATGTACTAGAATCTGCCAAAAGCAAATTTATGTCCTGGTTTTACTGTTCCGTGAGACCTACCCCACCCCTTCCTCAATCACTGTAACAGACCTGGATCCCTTTGCTATTGCCTCCTCTCTCTTCACCATCCAGGCCTTTGTTCTGCTTTCCAGGTGAGCAGGACTGACTCACAATGTGAGACCCGCATTTGAAAAAGAGATTCTTTAGAAAAAACCTGGAACTTTTAATGGAAGAAAAAAGATGATAACACCTGCCAGAAGAATAAACATAAAGAGAGAAAATATCATGAAAATGTGTCTGTCTCTGAGGATATCACTTTATTCTATGAGATGTGACTCTTCATTCACACACAGCTCACAGATGTGTAGAGTAGTCTCTTCAGGAGCCCTGAGAAGCAAGGGAGACTAAGGAAATTATCCTGATCTTCAGAATCCAGACTGCTGCTCTTCTCCAAGAGGAGACCTGTGCAAAAGTGCCCGAGAGCAGGACCTAGGCATTCCCACTCCTCCTCCAAGTCCACCGTCACAGCACTGAATGTCAACAAACCCTGAAATAGAAAAGGACAGTTCGGGCCACATGTGCGTGGGCAGAGTGCATTTCTTGAACTAAGGAGGCATTTTTCTGATACAGGTGTAAAATCATAATTAATCAAGGTCATTTCTTTTCTTTTTTATTTTTTGAGTGTGGAGTTTATTGAGAGAAGCGTAAAGGGGAGGGAAGATCGAGAGGCAGACAAAGAAAGAGGGAGAAAGAGAGCTCAAAAGGTACTTTCTAATTTTGTTTTAATCTATAAGGAGTTTTCTGTCTATAAAAATACTATGGCCTAATAGCATCTTCTCACAGCATGCATACTGGGCTTGCCTGGACCTTGTCAAATGGCTAAGGTGATCTCTTGGCCTCCATCTCTGTCCAGTCTTCCCTCCCTCCCCTCTCTCAAGCACCAGTCCATTCTGGACCCTCGCAGATGCCTCTGGCTATTTTCTCCCTCATACCTATGATAACCACGTGATGGAGCAGTTGTGTCCTCATTTTTCACTCAGAAAGCTAAGCATATGAAGACACATTTCTGAATTTTGTTTTTACTACAGAGTGTATACATCTTAGGAAATGCTAATGTTTACAACCATAACTGTGGTGATTTATAGTGTATTATTTTCCGATCCAATCAAATATACAGAGGTATATCATTTCACTGATACCTATGGGGATTGCTATTCTTCGCGCTGAAGGCCACTCTTCAGTAGGGAAGTAGTGGACTGCGGGAGTTAAAAAAAAAACAGAAGCTTTGTAACTGTTACAGTATGAAAGAGAACGCGTTTGCAAACTACAGACACTGCGGATGCTCTACGAGATTATTTTGTGAAAATATTCTGACAACCATAAGATAAAAAAAATCACGATTAAACCCCACTTCATAGGATCTCAACCTTATCGACAACCGAAAGATATTCACAACATAATTTTGAAAGCCGAGTTCTTCTGAGCAGCCTCAGCGAGCACAGCCCCGGTCCCTTCCCTCCTGGGTCCCAGCCCCGCAGCTCCTCTGACCTGGGAGGTTCCAGGGCCGCTGGGCTGCGGTTCCCGCCACCGCACTGCTGACTTTCCCAGGAAATTCCCCGGTATCTGCGGCTCTGAGGAATTTTCAGGTCCCCGATCTCACAGCGCGGTCTACCGCACCCAGTTCAGAACCTCGCGGCTCCCCGAGTCCAACAGGGAATGGCGCAATTTCCTGTCCTCGTTCCCTGGAGCGGCTCCTCCTGACCCGGCACAATACACCCCACTTCCGGAGACGTCTTCTTCACGCGGCCTCTTTTTAGTGTCCTGAGTCGGTGCTTCTACCTCCCCTACCCCTACAAACACCTCTCGCAGGTGTCCTCTCTCCAACAGGGACCCGGCCCTTCTACTCCATCTCAGGCTGCTGTTAGGAATATTTTCTATTTCCGTGGGACCTCCAAGATGTTAGGAATATTTTCTAACACAAGCTCTCTGCCGAGCAATAAATAAATAAATAAATAAATAAATAAATAAATAAATAAATAGATCCCAACCAAGCCAAATCAAAACAAAAACTAAAAGATACCCAGGTTTAATAGGACTCCTGCGCTCTCCGGTGGCCCGGGGAAAACCACGCGTTTGTTTGTTTGTTTGTTTGTTTGTTTGTTTGTTTGTTTGTTTTAGGAGAAGTTTAAATAGCCCGGGGGGAGTGGTCTTGACATTCTCTGAGGAGGGGGAAAGGTGCAAGGAGCATAAGGGCGGGGCCTATAAAGATGGTGGAGGACAGGTACCAGGATTTACAGCTGCCTTCCACAGAGCTCCAGCTGCCCAAGACCAGCTCTGCACAGCCTCCCCACATGCTTGCTGCCAGTCTAGAGTAGAACTGGATCTAGAAGGACAGTGCACCCCACTTACTGACTCCCCCCCCCAGTTTTGAAACCTTGGGATATACGTTATCATGCACGGAGTTAGCATAACAGAAGTTATATTTTATTATGCTATGGGTCATCACACAAGGTTCACACTCTAAATTCCTAACTAGGGTTTCCCCACGGCTGCTCGCCTGTTGGACGACTCAGCTGAAGGTCAGGCTCAGTCTCTAACTGAAATCTTTAATTTGATGGTCCCAATCCTAGGGGAGACAGGGCACATCACAGGGCACATCAAGGTGGCATCTCTCCAGAGATGCAGAGCAGAGTGTCTCTCTGCTCTCTGTTTAAATACTGTCCACTAAGGGTAAAGATATGAGACTCAGATGCCATTCCTTCCCCAAAAAATTAAAACTAAGATGTAACGTCCTTGGCTCTGTAAGACTTTAAGACAATCCTGAAGCCATTTTTAACAATTCTGAATCCTCTCAGCCTCTGTGCCATAGTGCTTCCCCTCCTCCCCTGGGAACCAAGGACCTAACTGCTACACTCCCACGTACTCAGTTCCTGAACAATTACCCTTACAGTATGTTTTGGTTCGGTCCCCTGGGAAACGGGGTCAAAATGACCTCTTACCTCATCTGATCTGGCAACAGCTCTCCAGTCAATTATTGGTAATAGCCCTTTCGAATAAGCCAATCAGAATAGTCAAAGAACAACCCCCCTTGCTTCTGTGGCCCCTTTAAAAGTAGACTGTACCCACTATTCGAGGTCCCTCGGCTTCCCGAATGCTGGGGGACCCTGTCATGACAGAATTAATAAAATCCTCGTGCTTTTGCATCGGCTGTGGTGTATGAGATGGTCTCTGGGGGCGACTCCTTCTAGGTGTTTGGATGCTAGAGTCCAACAGCTCAAAGCATAAACCATATTTGTTTCCCCCAAGGAGAGCAACTTAAATGATATCCAATGTACAGAACTCAAAAGCTAGAGTCAAACACGTAAACCATGTGAATGAACTCAGAGAAGATAGGAACAAAATGATCCCTTGGCAAGGACACGCTAGCAAATGCCTGAAGGAAATGAGAACACTGTAGGATATGAAAAATGAATTCAATAAGTAGAAACACTGAAACATGCAAACTGAAATGAAACAAGAAATGAAAAATGCAATGCGCCTAATAATAACACAAAGAGATCAGTCCATTAGGAGACAGGGTATCAGGCTTGCAGATAGGGTAGAGGAGCTGCATGGCTCAGTCAGATAAAATAATGAAGTAAAATGTTCCTTGCAAGTAACAGTACTTAATGATAAAAGTGAAGTTTCAGCTGCATGTTCTGTACTTACTTGCAATATTCTAAATTTTTGAGACAGTAGCTCATGCTGGAGAGCTTTACTGGAAAGCTGGATAAAGTTCCATCACCATACAAATGAAGTGGCACTAACAAGCCACCTCTATCCTTTCCTCCCAGACCTCCACTACTGCCAATCAAACATCCAGAATTACACTATTAGCAAAACTGATATTCCAACAGGAGGCAATATAGAAGGTGAGCATACCATTATACTCAGGCAAAGAAAGACATCAAAACAGAACTAGAAAAATTAAGTTGTTTTTATGTTAGGAATGGGTCTGAACATCTCAAAATAATGGCAAGGTAAAAAAAAAAAAATCTTACTTCTATGCGAGCAAACATAGCTGTGCCAAGTCCAGCATGCAAACACATTCAGCAAGGGTCCCACTAGGACTTCATTTCTTTGAGTGGTCAGAGCTCACCTCACATGCTTATGTCAATGGCTAAGTTAAAAACAACACAATTGACAACCTAATCATAATTTTTAGCACCATTTTTTTAACATTTTGACCCCAAAAGTGTTGACCTTTGAGAAATTTGAAATTCTCCAAGTAGCTTCTTTACATTTTTTTTGAAATAGAGTTGTGTCTTATTTCAGTCTTTGACAAAAAAAAAAAAAAAAAAAAAAAAAAAAAAAAAAAAAAAAAAAAAAAAAAAAAAAAAAAAAAAGACAAGAAATTCTGTTTACATTTCTCACACTTATATGTACATTTCTAAATTTTTGGTGAATTCCAGGAGTGGTGGTTCATGTCTTTAATCTCAACCCTCTGGAGGCAGAGGTAGATGAATCTGTCAGTCAAGATGAGCCTGGTCTACATGGTGAATTCTAGAACAGCCAGGGATTCTCAGTGAGGCCCTGGCTCAGAAAAAATATATCTGAGAGCTGGAGAGGTGGCTCAATGGTTAAAGCACTGACAGAGGACGCAGGTTCTATTACCAGCACCTACATGACAGCTCACAATCATCTGTAAATCTAGTCCAGGGGATCTGTTGACCTTTTCTGGTACTTTCTGAACTTTGTGAGTACTGCATGCATGTGGTCCAAAGACATATATGCAGTAAAGCACCCAAATATATATGCTGTGGGATAATGCTTTTGTACACTGTAAAGATTTGTCACTCAGGGGCTGGAGAGATGGCTCAGCAGTTAGGAGCATTGCCTGTTCTTCCAAAGGTCCTGAGTTCAATTCCCGGCAACCACATGGTGGCTCACAACCATCTGTAATGAGGTCTGGTGCCCTCTTCTGGCCTGCAGACATACACACAGACAGAATATTGTATACATAATAAATAAATAAATACTTAAAAAAAAAAGATTTGTCACTCATATTGGTTTAATAATGCCTCACTGAGAAAAGGTATCAGGCCACATGGCTAACCAGAGACAAGGATTATGGGTTGTTTTTTTGTTTGTTTGTTTGGTTTTGGTTTTTCGAGACAGGGTTTCTCTGTGGTTTTGGAGCCTGTCCTGGAACTAGCTCTTGTAGACCAGGCTGGCCTCGAACTCACAGAGATCCACCTGCCTCTGCCTCCCAAGTGCTGGGATTAAAGGCGTGCACCACCACCGCCTGGCTGATTATGGGTTAATTTAAGTTGTAAGAGCTAGTTAATAGGCCAAACAGTTTATAATTAACATAAGCTTCTGTGTGTTTCTTTGGGGCTTAACAGCTGCAGGACTGGGTGGGACAGAAACTTCTGTCTACACAAATAAAATAAAAATAAATAAATGAGCCAGGCATTGGTGGCACACACCTTTAGTCCCAGCACTCGGGAAGCAGAGGCAGACAGATCTCTGTGAGTTCGAGGCTAGCCTGGTCTACAAGAACTAGTTCCAGGACAGGCTCTACCTTCAGAGAAACCCTGTCTCAAAAAGCCTAAAATAAATAAATAAATAAATAAATAAATAAATAAATAAATAAA